TAAAGACAACCCAGCTGGGGAATGGGAGTACAAACATCAACATCACACCCAACCATTGAAATAATCAATTCAATTAAAATGCCAGGCAGCTGACCAAAGGGCTCGGTTCAGGTTCGGGTTTTGGACTGGAACAGCTCCCAGAAGGCCAAAACTGATGATGATAATGATGTAGGGCTGTGAGGAGGACCACAACCAGGACCAGGACCAGGACCAGGACGAGAAGGAGGCGAGGCAAGTGCCCCTGTCCGCGGACTCATGAAAAATTCATTCATAGTGTGGAATTTCGCGCTTAAATGTAAAATAGTTTTTCAAACAAGTCGAACACAAAGCGCATTGTAAGAGCCGCCGACAAGGAAGCAAAGCCAGCAGCTGAGTCTCTGTGCTGTGGTGTTATGAAAGGATGCTGAGAAAATGCACCGCTGACATAGGTGGGCTTCCAGCTCAGCTTCTCGGTTCTCCATCCTGATTCCCAAATGTAACACAAGCCAGGGATTGGTACGGGAATGGGAATTGCGATTGGGACTGCGACTGGGATTGGGATTGGGATTGGGATTGGGATTGAGATTGGCAGCTGCGTTGCGGACTTTAAAAGCCAAAAGACTTAAAGTAGCGGCATTACGACGCACCAACGCGATTAGCATAAATGTATAAATGCATACAGAAAAGCTCTGGGCTACAAGAGCCTTCGTTCTTCCACAGAACATTGAATACTCTGCAGTAAGGAGAATGCGAGATATATTGAAGAAATTTTAAGAAAATAAAATTAAATTAAACAGACTAAAATGGAAAGATATAAATTACTATTAAAAGTACCATAAATATAACAACCTTCTTCCTGTAATTTCTCTGTAAACAACTACGCAGTTGAGTTGCCAACATTTTCGACTGTCATAGAGCACTGTAAAGTCCAAAAACCCATCTTTTGTGCGACATTAAAAGCATCCAGGCAGCGTTACGCATCACAGATACGTCGGAAATGCTGCGCACACACTCCCATAAGCCAACTCTAAAGATGCTCCAAGAAGATGCTGCCACATAGGCGACTCCATAAAGATTTCGTCGCATTTAAAGACACCTCGAGTGGAACGGCAGAGACACGAACGCAGGCACTAACACATATCCAGCGGACGACTTAATGCCAATGCCGGTGAAGTCATCTCGCTGGGTACGTGTTTAACTACACACAAGCTCTCTGGTCTGTGGATGCTGGAAACAGGGATCCGGGAATCCAAGGAAGATACTTTTAGACAACAGCCTGCCGCTGTCTTGTTGTGGCCACGCCCCCCAAGCCTGGAGTTGCCTTTTAATTTCCCCATGGCATGTGCCAGATGACAATGGAAATGAAAAGTACCCGGCAAACCTTTTGTGGCTCACGTTTCATAATCTCTACCTTTTTTTCTTTTGCCCTAAAAAAATGTAACTAAAGCTAAAAAAAAAAAGTGGAAATTATTATGCATTTTTAATTGCCATTGGCGTGGCTTGTTCAGGTTTTAATTGCCCTTTTTGCCTAACTGGCCATAATCGAATGGACAAATCAATGGCCCGGGGCAAAAGCAAGCTGACACTTTGAGTGGCTTTTTAATTAATTTTCCAAACGTATTAAATTTTAATGAATTTAAACGCCATTCAAACAAAACATCATCGGTTGGTATTCTGTTATTTGCATTGGTTGGCATTTAATTTATGCCCAAACACACACGGAGAGTGCATCGCACATTAGTCATACGCAACGTTGCACAAATATTTATTAGCTATTGCAAGTCACTCCCTCCGATGGCAACTGCGGTGCAAACATGGCCGTAAATACAAACGAAAGCATCATCGATAAACGAACCTTTAGCCGCCATAAATAAAGCCCAGCACTAAATCAATCATACGCAATGTGGTGCTAATTAATTGAGTAAGCATAGCAAGGCCTATGATTGCTCCGATCACAAGGCCAAGACAAGAAGGTCTTTAAGGTCAATACAAGGGAAAGCTGTGACCACTTTGGGATGTTTATTTTCATTAAAGTAAACAAATAAAATTTAAAAGTTAATAAAGAGTAATTTGTGATAGAATACATCTTCAGTATGTAATCTGTGAAAGTCCAGTTATGGCTTCAGTGTAACCCTCGTTTCCGCTCTTGGGCTTAATCCCAGTGCCCCATTAAATACTTGAGCGAGAGCAGACCCTCCACTCGAGGGCCCTGGTTCAACGAACTAGCCTCCACTCGAAGCTAAAGCCCTTCCACGATTCAATATCAAGTTGGCAACTCGAAACCCACTTGGAATTAAGTATGACTGACCTGCAGGCGACTCAGCCTCAGCCTCAACCTCAACCTCAACCTCCACCTCAGCCTTGGTTGGGCTTCGGCATTCAGCGTTTAGCATTTAGCATTTAGCATTCAGCCGTGTCCAATGCTAAGATCAATGCCACTCCATGCTGCCTGTGCCAACTTCCTGTTGCAACAACCACTACTACCCTATATGGCCACAATGTGGTGGCTACACATAACATGCATACTATATATGTATATATAGATATACCCGCGGGATCTGCCCCGGCATACAGTCCTAGTTCTTCTTCTCCTCGTCCTTCGCATTTTTATTTAAACACTTCCTTATTTCGCTTTGTGCTCTGGCATTTGGCATTTGGCAGCTATTCTGTGTCAATTCCCGGCACAGTGTCTGAGTGTCATCGGAGCTGGTGAGCCGGAGAGAGAGCCGGAGAACTGGAGGAGCAGCAGGTGAATGGGATCGGATTGCCCCGACGACTCGGTTCTCCGACACTCGTCTGGCTGAGTGCCAAGTGTAGTGCAATAAACCTGCCGTCCTGAATGGCTGGCAATCAAAGATTTGAATGCGAGATACGATGACATTTACTCGCACATTCAATTGCGCTTTTGATTTGAATATTTACATGCTTGCCGGGTCGTAGTCCCAGTTCCGAGTCGAGTTCCGAACAGATTCCCTGGGGGTCTGGCAGAGGTAAAGGCAAAGGCATTCTTTCATGTCCTTTCCTTCTATTGACGCAGCCAAATTGGCTTTGCTGCACACGGAGAAATGCAAGAATCACCGATTTATGTGGTTTTACTTAATAAAATATTAACTCTTTATGAGTTTGAATATCGCTTTTAGCGTTAAAACACTTTGAAATAAATAATTAAAGTACTTTAACTGCATGTAATTATTACCTTTGCTGACTTCCCAAAAACTTCCTTTTTTTCAAAACTGCAAAAGAGGTAAAAGTAAAGTACAAGCTCATATACTTTTTCTGTATCTGTAATAAAGCTTCATCATATTCGGTATATTGCCATCTAATGTTGCACATTAAATTCAAGTTTAGAGATTGAGTGGCTAGCAAAAAGGTTGTTTCATAATTTTTAACACAAACTGCTTTCAATTTTTCAATTTGTTACTTGCGTTTTGTTTAATCTTACATACTTAGTTTTCGCTTATTTCTTTCTGTGCTTTTATTCTGGAGATCTCAGGATCAGGCCCTAATTGATTTTCAAACGTTTCCTCAGCGTCTCTGGGTGCAGTTGTCTGTATTTAAACAACTTAGTTAGTATTTCAGAGCCTTGGCATACTTAGCCGCAGATGTGCGTTTCAAGCATAAACAACTAATTTGCCTAATTGATAAGCCATGCAAAGGCATCTCAAGACATCTTGACTCGACTTCACTTCACTGGGGTCTGTCTTGGGCGGAATGGTTGAGTTTCTGTTTCAGTTTCAGTTCAGTCTCTATAGCTGTTTGCTTTGTCCGTCAACATCTTTTGAGCGGAGGCACTCAGGGGCAAACTGTTGCACTTCAGGCCAAGAGGAACTAAAGCTGGAGCTGAAGCTGGAGTTGGAGCTGGGGCTGGTGGTGGTGCTGCAACTGGAGCTGGAAGCATGCATACATAGTATGGAGTGTGGAGTATGGCGTATCGCCTAGGACCCCCATTAATTGCAATCAATTTTGCTGTCAACACACACTCCAAATAACTGCAGGATATTTATTTATGCTTTATGCCGTTCCTGCGCTGCCCTTCAGCCAACTTTTGCAACTGAATAATTGCCTTATGACACATTATCATTATTATTAAGCCTGCCACGATGGGCCAAGAGTTATCATTATCTTTTACCCTTGGCCCTGGGGGTCCACGTATCTGGGAATTAGAGAGTCAACAATGAAATGCCAAGTGGCCCCAGTGGCTCCTCTTGGCTCATAAATATATTTCCAGCTGGCAACATTATATAATTATTTTGCCATGGATCGGATTGAATGCCGGCCAAGTGCGTCGATGTTTCTCGTACGCCGTTTTTGCCCCAGGTTGCGACTTCTCATCGGTTGCAGTAACAGCAACCTTTTTAGGCCGGCAGCAAAATCGGCAGCAGGCCACCGCCTTTGCGCGAAATTCATTTTAAAGTGCAAATATTTGCTGCCTGGCCAGTTGCTTAAATGAGAAAAACTGGGCAAAAAAATAAATAAATATATATGTATATATGTATACTTACTATATGCATGCATATAGCTCACACACACAGAAGCCAGTAATGAAAATGTGTGGCACTCGTCATTGCGGCAATGAATATACATATACGTATATATACGCATTTGTATTGCTCATTCGCATTGCTGTAAATTAATCCCACCAGGGATGGGATCATTGTAATTATCGATAATTAAGATATAATACTTAAGAATTAAGGAACCCGTTGTACGAGGTACGCATTGAGCACTCATATCTAATAAAAACCTTAATTGACGCACTATTTTTAAACTGAACTGAAGATGATGATGCGAATATCGTAAGAATCGTAGATATGAAGAATCTTAAAAAGCAACAGCTTTATGTGCGTTGATATCTTAAATTTTTTTTTAATATTAGTTTTACTTCACTTTAAATAGACAATGAGGGCCAACTAGGGGGCACTCGTCCTCACCTTTAATTACACAAAATGGCAACGAAGCTCGACAATATCAAATTTCCGCTTCTACCACAAATAGAAATCGGTAAAGTAAAGATGGTAATATATTGAGTTTTACAACCACACAAATCTTTTATTTAACTAATCTATAGAATTTAATATCGGGATGGAAATAGTATCCCTGTTGGTGTAGGGGGTACATCGGAACTAGATAATCCATTCGCATGTTCCGCCTTATGGCACAATTGATATACTTCAACCAATCTGTCATATTAGCCTGGTGACACTCTTGCGAATTTCCTTCCTTCCAGATCTCCTCCCGAAGGTCCATCCACACCGCCCGAAAACTAAATACTCTGTTGTAAATGCGCGGCCTTAGATATTGAAAGATGTTCGGAACGTTATAGACTGTGGACCTTTTCCGGCAGACTGTGGAGAGGCCATATCTATGTCCGGGGGAATACATTCTGGGGCGTTCTGGGGCGCGAAACTTTACAGTGGAGGGAGTGCCGCGGTAATACTCCTTTTGTTGCGAATCTTCAAGTGTATCTTTGTTGTTGGCGAACAACTTATCGAACACAATGTTTCCCACTTTATCCGTTTTAAGAACTGGGACTGATACGGTCATCTCTGTATGCGCCTTACTTTTGGCAGTACTAAAAGCTCTGGTACTTTTATCGACGGTTTCATTGGTATGTGCAATTTTGGGAAACATGCTAAATTTGCCCTTTTGGGAAGGTATTTTATTTCCACCCGCATTGCCAAGGGGAATCGGGAACATTGCCCAACCGAGAGCGTCCTCGGTGGCTGATTTCTGATCGTCCGAATCTTTAATTTGTTTTTGCGTTGCCTGGCGATTATCAATTATCTTTTTGTTAGGATGTTTTCGGGTATATGATGGTGTTTTAACGTTTAAGTTTCTTTCATGATACTTAATCGGAAGGGACTGAACCAACAAATGACTGGCCTGCGTATTAGATAATTGTAAACAAATTATTCAATTAACAAATCTTAACTTACGCCCAAAAAGAATCCAATGGCAATAACTAGTATAAATGTTCTTTCCATTTAGTTTACAACTGTCTGTGTCGGTGTATGTGAACTGTTCGTTAAAAATAAATGTAGATTTATTCTGAAAATTGATCCATAATCCCAAGCATGCTAAGAAATCTAGCCTTTTGTTGATAGTTACTCATAGTAACTTATGCGATTTCATTACCTAAAAACTCATGATCACAAATCAATAAAAAGCTTAAACTTTTTCTTTAGATCAGACAAATAACCAATTTGTATTTCAATTAAAGAATATTCCCAACAGGGTTTCCAGCATAATTTGTGCATCTCTGGCCAATATAAACATATATATTATACATATATACTTGCGAAAGTTGTGCACTGTAAATATTTTGATCCACCACCACCCGCACTTTTGCCATAGCTACGAGTGGGGAGTGGGAAATGGGAAATGGAAAATGGATGAGGTATGGGGGATATGGTGGGTGGCAACCGCAGAGTAAGCTTGACTTTGGTTTAAAAATACAATAAAAAAGAAAAGAAAAAAAGCACAGAACTACGCAGTCCGTTGCCCGCTCTGACGACCACGTTTATTGATGGTCGCGGCAAGTGCTTTAATGGAAATTTAAGTATCATCGTTTAAAATGAAGTAGAAAAGCGCAAGGCAGCGGGAAAAGGCAAATTCCGAGCTGGAAATGCGATTGCGAGTGCCATTGCGACCCTCGACGGCGAAGCCTTGGTCATTGCGTTGGCAACGCAAATTATTATTTTTATTATTATTGCAGGTTTTTCGGTGCTTATTTATTTTATGCAACTTTTACAGCGCTGCACATAGAAATTATATGCAGCCGCGGACCGCTCTAATGGAGGTTGTTTAAAAACAGAAAAATATAACTACAAACAACAAACCAGTAAAATACGAAATCCCGAAAAAGGGGGAAATGGAATCAGGGTCATTAAACAAGCAAAAAGCTAACTAAAATATGCAACGAAAGCGTTAGGGAAATTTGATGGGCGGCTGCGTCGTGAAAATGCCGTAAAACTCGGCCCGTAATGAGCTACGGTGTGTACATTAAATATGCAACAATTAAAAGTGACAACAAAACTGAGAAACCGCAACCGAAAGACACAGAAAGTATTACAAAAATTTGCTCATCAAAATTAAATGCGAGGCAAATATTTGAAAGCCAAGTACAAATTTATGCCAAGCTGCTTAGTTAACCTGACGACCGCTGAAAGTGTGGGTGTAGGCACTTTTAACACCCTTTCAGGGAGTCTCTTTTCCATTAACAAAACCGGGCTCGTAAAAAGACAAACAGCCTTCTTCCCCCACGAAAAACGAAGCCCGAAACTTAGGGCTAAACCGATTTGTGAATTTATTTAGGGCACCACTTTTGGTCTTAGCTTCGGCAGCTTCGATTTCCCAGGATAACCTATAAATCCTTTCCCAGGCTGGCCCTCTCATATTTAATTCCATTGAGATTTTGACGAGGGAAGTCGGTATTTTAAAGGAGTTCTTAAAGGGTCTCTCTCATTGTACACTTCACTTTGTTCAGTTCATTTTAAAATTTACTGACCAGAGCCCATTAATTTGTCAATATAATATTTTGTATCGTTCAGTTTGATGTATTTAAACTACTAATTTATCGGCTTTACAGTTGATTTGGCAATAATATAAAATTAATTTTAAGTCTGTGCGCAAATAAATACCGAGAGCCATATATGCCATATCTTCATTAACAATTAATTATGCAGATATATTGTCCGATAAGTGTTAATGCCTATTAATTATTAGGTGAGTAATATTGATAGGAATGAAAATGGGTTAACAGTTTACTCATTCGAGTGATCATAAATAATATGAATAATAGTCACATTGATTTCAATTTTAACATGAACTTCTTTAATGTTCTTGTTAATTTCCAGGGCCAATGGCCTCGAATACAAAACAACAAATACAACAAACAAACAGAAACAAAATGATAAACAATGTCTGCAGTTGGTAGACAATTTTAATTACTACAAAATGGGACAAAAAGCGACCATTACATTATTTCCTGTTGGCATTTTCTCTGAGGGCGCCGGCTTAAAGTTTCACTTGAATTCATTTCCCCCAAAAACATTCCTCCCAAAAAAATAAAACTCCCTCTCACCTTATCGCCGTCCTGTCGGCAGACAACAAGTAACAACAAAAAGAATTATGATTTATGTATTTAATTTAATGTTCTCGCACTCTCTTAGAGGGTGGACGTCGGATGTATGTGTTTATTTGTCAGGCGACAACGGGATAATAACAGACAACACCGAGGGAAAGAAAAGCCGCGCGGCGAATCCTACGGAAAACGATTTCCTTTGTTGCTTTTAACGGCATTTCGCTGTTTTAAAGGCATTAAATTATCTTGATATTGCTGCTTTTCTTTTAACTTCCTTCACTCCAACATAAAAATGAAAAATGTGCGGCAACTTAGCCATGTTTTTGGTTTATCATCCGCCTCCACAAGTTTCAGACATCTCGTCTCGTCTCTTCGGTGTCCTTCCGCTTCGTAATTATAAATATTTCGGTCTGTTGTTGGTTTTCCCGCCTGAGATTTTTTTTTTTTTTTTTTTTTTTTAGTGCATTAATAAGTAGACAATGAGGGACAACTATGGGACACTCGTCCTGACCTTTAATTATACACCACAAATAGAAAAAGTACGGTAAAGATGTAAATATATAACGAGTTTTACAAGGAAACAAGACTTTTATTTAGTATTTATAGAATACAGAGCAAGAGACACCGGAACATCTGCTCTGCTTCTGCCCAGCGCTAAACCACATCAGATTTCGCCACTTTGGTGCCTACCAGATGGAGTTACTGGGAAACATAGGAAAGCTGAAAGTTTCAGCAATCCTAGGTTTCCTTACTGACTCTGGATGGTACTGATAGTGAATAACATCAACAGAGGGAGTGGAACATAAAGGAGCTTAGCTCTAATTGGAGGCCCCAGCAATGGGCCTCACCACTGTAACCTACCTACCATTTATAGAATTTGATATTGGGATGGAAATAGTATCCCTGTTGGTGTAGGGGGTACTTCGGTACTAGATATTCCATACGCATGTTCCGCCTTATGGCACAATTGATATACTTCCACCAATCTGTCATATTAGCCTGGTGACACTCTTGCGAATTTCCTTCCTTCCAGATCTCCTCCCGAAGGTCCATCCACACCGCCCGAAAACTAAATACTCTGTTGTAAATGCGCGGCTTTAGATATAAAAAGATGTTCGGAACGTTATAGACTGTGGACCTTTTCCGGCAGACTGGAGAGGCCATATCTATGTCCGGGGGAATACATTCTGGGGCGTTCTGGGGCGCGAAACTTTACAGTGGAGGGACTGCCGCGGTAATACTCCTTTTGTTGCGAATCTTCAAGTGTATCTTTGTTGTTGGCGAACAACTTATCGAACACAATGTTTCCCACTTTATCCGTTTTAAGAACTGGGACTGATACGGTCATCTCTGTATGCTCGACAATATCAAATTTCCGCTTCTACCACAAATAGAAAACGGTAAAGTAAAGATGGTAATATATTGAGTTTTACAACCACACAAATCTTTTATTTAACATATCTATAGAATTTAATATCGGGATGGAAATAGTATCCCTGTTGGTGTAGGGGGTACATCGGAACTAGATAATCCATTCGCATGTTCCGCCTTATGGCACAATTGATATACTTCCACCAATCTGTCATATTAGCCTGGTGACACTCTTGCGAATTTCCTTCCTTCCAGATCTCCTCCCGAAGGTCCATCCACACCGCCCGAAAACTAAATACTCTGTTGTAAATGCGCGGCTTTAGATATAAAAAGATGTTCGGAACGTTATAGACTGTGGACCTTTTCCGGCAGACTGTGGAGAGGCCATATCTATGTCCGGGGGAATACATTCTGGGGCGTTCTGGGGCGCGAAACTTTACAGTGGAGGGACTGCCGCGGTAATATTCCTTAACGCGAGAATTTACTTGGGAATCTCCATTGGTAGCGAACCATTTATCAAACACAATGTTTCCCGAAACATCCGTCCGTAATTCTGGCACTGATATGGTCATTTCGGTCTGCACCGTTGAATTATTGTTACTTTGACCACCAGGTTCATTGTGTCTTGTAAAATGGGGAAAGATATTAATTTTGCTCTTTTTCCAAATGGGATGCAGCCTATTTCCACCTTCAGAGGACTTCGGGAACATCACCAAGCCGACTGTGCCATTGAGCACCGATGGTCCATGACCAGCATCGTCCGCAGGTTTAAGGGGTATTTGAAGGGATTGGTGACTACCATGGGCAGAAGGTGTTTCATTCTTTGAGTTTCTTTCGTGGTACTTTATCGGTAGTGTCTGAACCAACAAATGACTAGTCTGTAATCAGCTAATTGCAAATAAATTCCATAATACAAAAAAAATATTAATCTTAACTTACGCTCAAAAAGAGTCCAATGACTTTAATTACTATAGGTATTTTTTCCATTTAATTTTCAACTGCCTGTGTCAGTGTTTGTGAGCTGTGGCCGATAAATAAATACTGTAGATATTATTTTGGAAAATGACACATGGTCCCACGCATTCTTAAATTTCAGGTTTTTAAAATTCACAAAAAAGTAATGATACTTTGATACTAAATTTGTAGTAATTTTAAATTTGCAAATATATAAAAGAAATACTTTGCGAATTCAATGTTTAATTCTATTTTCTGTATGGTAAAATGTCAAGGAACAACTTCCGTAAGTAAAACAACAAATGTTCCTTGCTTTTCAAAATCAAATTAAATAAATTTCACTTAATTGCAAATTTTTCATTAATTAAGCAGACATATTTTGGGTAGAAGCGAGTTCATTGCAAAGAATTATACACGGCCAGCATAATTGAATCCGCGTACCTACAGATAAAGTGCTGCATTATTCGGGATAATGCGATCCCTCCGACTGCATAACTTACTATGACCGCGGACCTCCCTTCATTCAGGGCCAACAGACATTGTAATGAAGAAGCTTAAAATAATTAACCGGCCAGACTCCGTCGTTCAGAGATAAAAGAATCGCAAAAGCGTTTAACCAACATAACAAATATATGTATGTATGTACTTGCCTTCCATGTGGATTTAAACAAATAGTCTGGCGAATAAACCGGCTGAAAGGCAGTGAGTGAGTGGCGTTAACATTAAAGCCAAACCGTGAACCAATATTTTGCCGACATTTCCCATTCAGGTCTGCTGCCCAGCCCCCCAAAACGTAATTCATTTCCCGATCATTTATTTCATATTAATTAAATATGCGGTTTTAATATATACATTTAAATCATACACTGTACAGTACAGTACATATGTACATCACTTGGGCAGGGTGCGAGTAGTAAAATCTGTTTTTAAGCTGCAGTCCAAACCGATGGAAAGAAAACATTGAGGGATTTCCCCTTTTTATGCTTTTTGTTACATTTTCCCGTGACGGAAAATGCAACGAAACGAAATGAAAAGCTTTGACAAGCATCTGCTGTGGGCGGTTGTGGTGGGGGCGTGTTTTTGACAAATTGACTTTGCCAGCAACAATAATAATAATAATAGCAATAACAACAACAGCAAAAGCAAATAGAAACGGCAGCCGGAATGATTTTCAAGTACTACATTCATATTGATTTCAAACGAAACTTGAAATGCAAATGACAGATTTATTTTCCACGCCGTTCTGCCGCTGTCAATCAAATTGTCGAAGGTGTTGATTGATGTCTAGTCGCGTGGGTGGGAGTGAAAGTACGGATGGAGGGGAGACTTGGACGGCATTAAGAGCATTTCAAATTTTTTTGACAGCCCCAAATTTACAATTTCAGCTTCTATCTAAGGCCAGGCCAAGGCACAGTGGTTTAAAATGGATTTTAACTTATGGCTGTGCTTAGAAATGAATTCCAATCTATCGACATTGTATCGATTATTAGCGACATGATATGATATGATATAATAAAGAGCTTCTTACTTTTTTCAAACATTTCCACTCGTTATACATCGTGATTTCCTAGAGTTCCATTTATTTTTATCCCATCCAAGAAATAACAGGCCAGCCATATATATCTCTGGCATATGGACCACTGTCTCCAGCTGTCGGAAAATGTTTGAGTGAGCTTTTCCTATTGACGTAAAGTGATGCCATGGGTACTGAATTACAGCTACTGAGTCAGCCATTCAAGCGATCATTGGACCTGCCCAGAAATGCAATGAAGCATGTGCAGCTTCAGTGCTAGCACAGATTACACCCGGCTCAGCCATGATTGGTGTTTAAAAAATATATATGTAAATATATAATAAAATCGCCACAAAAATTGCCATTAAATTCTTAGCCTACATTTCATTGTTCGGTGGCTACCAACCTTTGCTTCCAGGTGCTGAACATATTTTGCAGGAGCGCCGTTTCTGCCTTTGTTTGGGTTTTCTCGAGTGCTGTAATTTGTTTGCATGTTTATTCATGGAAGCGTCGCAGGAGCTGCAGACACCGTGTAGACGGAAAAACAAATACTGGCTAACACACATACAGTTGCACACGCACTTGTACAATACGAAATGCTTGAAAAAAAAGCCAAGTTAGAGCAGCCCGCTGACACTCGCGTCCTAAATAATTCAACACACACCCAAGCACAGCTACGGGCAGATGAAAAGGATATTGTATGGCTTAAAAAATATATATTATAATCTTAAACTCTATAGGAAAACAATTGTTTGTGAATGAGAATATATATATATATATATATATATATATATATATTCTTTGGTTTCCTGTGGCTACCAAAAATGTATTTCTAGTTAAGATATCTTTCTAATTTATATTTTTAAAGATATCTATATAAGTCTAAGTCTCTATAAAAAGTACAATAAGCATTAAGATATATTTCCTATTCATTGTTTGTAACTAATTCTTTGACCCTTGTTGTGCGGTGGTGGGTGTGTGGGTATACACACCGCACAACAGCATCAGCGAAATTGAAAGCTTAAACAGCCGAGGAGAGAGCTTGACATCTCTGGCAGTGCTTAAAAACGGGCAACGGAAGAGGAAACTAGGACCAAAACGAGGATATGGAGGAGCAGGAGCGAGAAGTGCTTTAAATGGGCTGCAGGATTTTGGGCACCATTCCGCCATGGATGGCAGGAAGGAAGTTAGCAAAGAAGGGACCTCCGCTCATTGGCTTTCGTCGAGGGGTTATCCTCTTAGCTTAACCCCATACGGCCACAAAGGATGTTTAGCTTTATTTATGTGTGGAAAATGGTAAAAGTGTAAGTAGACTGAAGAGGGCTGGGGGAATGTGGGTCTCATGGATTATGCACTAAAGATATATACGGATTTTATAGAATACATTTCGCCATCTGCAGAAGCAGCTTTTCATTTGCCACAAGGCTAATGCTACGTTTACTGCATTTATTTTCATGAATGGAAAATGTGTTCATGACATACATATACGTAGATTTATATAAATAAGTCATAATATTTATGATATACCTTCGGTGCAGGTACCTCTTCAAATTTTCCTATCGTATCCTAAATACTTTTAATAAACTTAAGTCGCTTCCTGTAATTTCCTCACTCGCAGTCCACTCCCTTAATCGTTCACCCTACCTTGGGGCTCATTCAATTTCAACTTTTTGCACTTTCGATGCAGTTACTTGGCATAAAACTTACAAAAAGCACCGAAGCACCAGAACTCCGCTCTCCATACGGAATTCAATTAAAAACTTCAACTCCCCTTTGGGGATGAATGAAGGTGCAAAAATATGAGGAAGTGATGGGGATCGAAAATAAAAAAAAAAAGAAATCATAGAAGTACGAGTATTTTTGATTTTCGTTCGCATATTTTTGTGTTATTGGTTGAAATTCTGAACAAACTGATAGCGTTGCGAGGTCTCCCTGAGGGAGAATTAGGGCCGCCCACTGGGAACAGGGGAAGGAACCCGAATCCAGGTTTCCCTGGGCAGCTCTCACAAACGAAATAATCCAATATGCATATTGTATTGTGCGATAATACCAAACGAAGCCGGATTGAAGCTCTGCAGTCGTCCTGCCAAAAACTTCCTTCACTCTTTGGGCAAACCTAGTCTGCATCCACATTCCCGCCTTTTGTTTAACAATGCTTTCCATTCGGCTGTTTTCTCTCTCGATGGAGTGCGTTCATTTAAATTTTTGCAATTTTTAGGCAGTTTTATGCTTGGCAAAGCCAACAACTGGCGTACAGAATTCAATGGGAAATCATTTCAATTTCTCTACAAATTTGCATATATGCACGGGCAAGTCTGACGGTCTGTTTGCCTGTTTGTGTAGGTGGAGGTCTATGAATTTGTATATTAATGGTTTTGTGCAAAAGAATTGGCAGAAGTTAAAACCCATCAAAGATTCCATTCAGGTAAAGCCTTAACATAAACTCAAAATACACAGGGAAACATTAAGAATTACTTACTTAAATGTGAAAAACCTTACTTAATACTTGGGCAATGATATGTAAAAGAATGTATAACTTTTATGTTTCCCAACTTAATTCAATTTTATTTTTTCTCTAATCTATATTTAATTTTTGGGGTTTGCCACTAAAAATAAAGTCTGCCACTTTATTAAAATGTATGTGGTTCAGTGTATTTGGGTTAGACATTTCGAATTATTCAGGCAAATGTATAAACAAATAGAAATTTGCTTATGCTCCCGGTTCGCCGACTTCTTGAGCTAGCAATAAATTACTCGGCAGATGAAAGTAATTCGAGAAGAATAATTGAAATTGTAATTGTCGCAAAACGATGGCGAAGGGCTCCGTCAAGATGGTGTTTCCCCCATCGAGTTTAGACTCAATTTTTCCGCATCGATTTCATTTTAGGGCAGCTGGCCGCACTTTGTTTGCCTGTGGGTGTTCCCTCTTTTATTTTTTTTGCCAACTCTGCATACGACAAATAAAAGATAATGCTGATTGCAAGTGTTTCGGGAACTGTGGTCCATGTGGCTGCTCGACTGACCCCCGGATGGGCAACTGGCCAGCCGGAATGTGGCAACGGTTGGCGCTAATGTCACCGTCTGGGCCTTTTTTGGCAACTCCTTGGGCTTTGGCCATTCTCCCCCCATCGACAATTGGCAGTCGTACGTGTGTTCTGTTTATTTTTATGTGACAATGCAAAGTAAGTGCACTTGAGTTGGACTCCACTGTCGGGGGATGTGCATAAAAATCAGTGAGCTTTAAAATTAACGATGCATCGCGCTCAATTACGGCAGTATAAACAACCTCATCGGGCGACCCGATTCCATTTCCGGTTCCGCTGGCTCTGCACGGTGCCTGGTGTCCCTCCGGATGTGAGTCTGGGAGTGGTCCTTCTTCTGGCTCCTCGCCTGAATGTGAGCGAGCTCGGCCCTTAGCTCCGCCCGGCATGCCTGCCATAATTGTTTGGCTAGGAAAAACAACAGCTCGCAGATGCCAATCAGCGAGAAGCCGGCTATAATGCCGCAGATGTTGCCAATTGTACCTGGCACGGGGGAATAACGGAGTGGGTGAGATATGCAAAATTGTAGCAGCGGGGGAAATGCCAGTTCCATC